GGGCTGGTGGCCGGAGACCACCCGGAATCGAAGGACGAAGACGCCGGGCTCGATGGAGACCACCCAGAGACGGATCGAAACGAAAAGACGAACACGCGCGACGACGACGGATGATGGCGGTGCGGAAGCGGAACAGGTTGCGGCGTAGGAAATCTCGATGGAGGAAGATCTTGTTCCACAGGTGGATCAGGTGCCCTTGTTCCACAGGTGGATCAGGTGCCCGCGTGGGTCGAAGAAGAGATGGCTGCCGGCGTGCATCAGGGAAGCCGCCGCGGAAACCCAGCCGGCATTTCCTGGGATCGTGAGCTTTGCCGTGCTTTCTGCTGTGGTTCTGCAGAGGGCTTGTTCTGAAGCTCTGAACCTCGATCTCATTCTGAAATCTGAAATTTCTCAGAGGTGCATGGCTTTCGTCATAAACATTGATCCTGCTAAATCCTTTGCTCAGTAACGTGGCTATTCAGTTATTATCTGATGAAAGTGGCCGTTTAAACCGTAGTGAAAGTTATCTTGAGTTGTAACATGTAAGCACTTATTGGAGTGATAAACTAGACAGAAACTTCAAGGACGAAGATACGCCGTGACCGGTCGCGTGCTCACGGCCGCGGAGCTTCGGCAAACCCTAGCACCCCCGCGGCGGCCACCTTCTTCCCCTCCCCCTCCCGCGGTGGCGAGCTCCGGCTATGGCGCCCCCGCCCCGACCTAGCCCGGCCGCCGTCCCCGTCGCCTGGCCAGCCTGCCTCCCGCTGCTCTTCAGGTATGTTTAAGTTCTGATCCCCTCTGTTTGGGCACATAAAGTACATCTCAGGGTCCTTGCTCCACTCATATTGAGTGATCGATTCCTAATGACTCCAAAATTTTCAGTTGGAGCAAAACTTAATTTTCTTTAATGGAGCTGGACTGCTAGAGGAATAGAGGATATATAATCATATTGCTACGGCAACTTATAATCATATTGCTACGGCAACTTTGAGAACTTAATTTTCTTTAATGGAGCTGGACTGCAGGAGGAATAGAGGATATATAATCATATTGCTATGGCAACTTTGACATGAAAAGTTAACTTCAGAGCAGAATAAGAGAGCGTGTCTTCCCATGTTTCGCTTTTCCACGGGACACTGAATCATGTGACATGATAAAAATATTTGGTTATATATACAATATATAAGACATGTTAATGAATCTGTTTTTCGTTTTATTTTTTATAAATTTTATCTTGTTTTGTATTTTACGGTAGGTTAGCATAGGCAATATACTAGTAGATAAATAAATAGCCTAAAATCTAATTGCCTGGAAAAGCAAAGTCCAGCGGCACGGTCAGTTGGTTATAAAATATCAGCACAATTGTAGGGACTACCATTCACGAGGTTAGTTAATGTATTAATTAATAAAATCATAACGGCGTGTCCATGATGTTCACCACTGGTTAAGGCGAGTGTTAGTGGGAGTTTCATGTCAGTTTTATTTGCATTAAATAGGTTGCCACATAGATATTTTTGATGACATGACAGTATATTTAAGAAGAGAGATAAGAAATAGATGAAACTCTCTTAGCACGATTACTAACTCTCTATGCTTATGAAACTATAGAATGAAACTTTGCATTGAGAGTGGATATTTCATCCAAGTTTTATTTAATTCTATATAACATGGCAGTCTTAAAACAACGCCTTGAAACTATCCACTGAGACTGGCCTAATAATCTTTTAATATAAAATCCAATAGAAGCTTAATCTATTAATATCACATCATTTATAATAAATCAACCCCAACAATTAAGATTTGCAAAAGAAAAACATATGTGCTGAACTATCCGTAAATGAGGTTTGATGGTGTAGAAGTCTAGAAAACCGAGACAATGCAATTTTCCTCAACCACAGGAAACAAGGAAATCATCCATCTATCCATACTTATCTTACTATTACTAATTAGAGGCTCCAACAAAGGCTCCATGTTACTCCAAACATTTGTCATCAAACGCTCCAAACATGTTACTCCATATTTACTTTTTAGACAATGCAATTCTCATCAGATGCGCCAGAAAAAAGATAAATCATCGAACCTCCGCTTACAGCTCTTCTCTGGCCGAAAGGCCGGAGCCGACTGGGGAACAACCCACCGGGCACGCCCGCTCGGTGAAGACCCGGGAAACGAACAGAGCAGGTAAGGCAGGGCGCTCCAGTCAAACCGTAATATTAAGGGCCGTACCCTGCGCACCTGCAGGACAGTACTGTCAGGCCATGTCAGAAGGATGCACCGCAACCTTCCAGACATGTCAGAACATGAACAATGTTGTGGGCGTCGACATTTATCCTACAGTATAGTAGGCGCCGACATCTGCCAAACCAGAAGAAGACGGTGGAACCAACCACATGCATCCAAACACCAACAGTGTTATGCGCGCCAACAAACCGCCTTATACCCGACGGCGTGGGCAACAAGACTAGATAGCACACCCACACTCTTTCTCTCACACTCCCTCTTGTAAAGTCGTCCCCTTCATCTATAAAAGGGGATGCACTCTCTCCAAAAAAGAGATGGATGATTCGACCACCCGCAGATCGATTCACGAATGATTCGAACAACCTACGATTCGAACGATTCCAACAGAGCACACGCTTAAATACTTAACGCACGTAGGAGTTCCCATCTCCCTCGGCCCTTCGGTCCAGAGTCCGACCGGACCTATTGCACCCCCTATCTTACTCTCTCTCGTTTATAATCCCACAACAAACTTCGAGCACCTGGGCTCGGGAATAAAGTCACCGACCGACTCAGACTGGACGTAGGGCACGTTGCCTGAACCAGTATAAACCCCGCGTCCTTGAGTGCTGGGCCACATCTAATCACAACGTACGGCAAAACTACAAATATTTTCGTGTTGGTCACTTTCTGCACCGACACGTATTATTATTTTTAGTAAATGAGATAAAGTTTACAAGTACAATAACAAGTAAAATATGGTGCCAATTATTTCATGAAAAATTGATTATTTAAGAAAATTTAAAAAATATTTGTTTAGTGATGCATTAGTTTGTTAATTAGGTTGTTTATTCTCTCTTACATGAAGAATATAGTATATAGTACGTATATGTGTATTTTACAACAACAACATGATTAAAAAAGTTGAACAATATTAATATATATTTTTAAATAAGAATGACCCCTTTCAGAATTATGGTATTGTTATATACTAATTATATTCTTTCGGCCTATTAATGATTCTTATATCTAACTTAGTCCTTTTGTTTTTTCTTTCACTGATCATTGTAGGAAATTTAAAGATGGAGTAGAGGAACTCACGGATGTATGTTCCATTGAGGTGGAAGCTTGGTTTTCGACAAGAAGTCGATAGATTTCTTGTAGCCGCAGAGAAGCATTCCATGGCGACAAATAACATAATCGAAATTCTTTGTACATGTAGCGATTGCATGAACCATTCTCATGTTGTTATATGATTGTCATTAGATCACACTTGATTGTGCAAGGTTGTGAAGGACTACACAGTTTAGATCCATCATGGCAAAACACCCGTTAACATCGTTGGGCCACAAGAAGAAAATATGGAAGAAGACGACCAAACTTACATGGAAGCATTTATAGCTGAGCTTGATACAGAAGTAGGAGTGCCGATGAACTATTTGGTGGTTGAGCTGCTGAGGACGAAGCTGGTGTCAATGATGGTCAAGGACGTGTGGGGGACAAAGCTGGTGGCAATTACGGTGGTGGACGTGAGGGGGGCGAAGCCGATGGGGATTATTTGTAGGAAATTTTTAGGGCCATTGGACAAGACATGTTACTCAAGAACGTGAAAAGTCTAGAAAATTTAGAAAGGGTAAAAAAGCAGCGAAGGAGAGTTTGTATGGTGTTAAAAAGGGTAGTCCGACACACTGGATGGTGCTATGTTTTGTACTTGAGCTGCCCATCATCCTCAAGGCTAAGTACGTTTGGTCGGACTTTAGTTTCAACAACTATTGCGTCTCTTGTCATGGTTGCTGCCGCAGCCAAAACCATTGTGTCCTTTAACATGGCGATTAGTTCAAGCCATTAGATAAATGCCCTAGATGTGGCACTAGTCGGTAGAAGAATAATGACCTTTGTGCCGGGGATGAACCCCTATGGTCGTTCCTGCACCGAGAATAAGAGGAAGAAGGGTGGGCAAAAGGTGGTTCGCGATTGTCAACGCCAAGTCCAACATTTGAACATGTGTGTGTATATGTATATGAAGTTTGACGACATATTTACAATGATATATTTTTTGCTTTGTATAAAATATAAAAATATATATGTGCACTGTAGTCACAAACATAGTTTGAATTTTGGCGGTACACTTATCTGTAAAGGCGCCTCTGGATCCCACCCGCCTCTGAAAAATCATTTGTGGAGACCGCCCTGACTCCCAGCCGCCTCCACAGATCCCATTTCTAGAGGCGGTTGGACAGCCACCTCTGTAAGGCACAAGAGGAGCCAGCCGCCTCTATAGAGGCATTCCAGTAGTGATGGAGTCTGATTTTAGGATGTATTAGGTTTCTTTGCAACATACAGATAAGTTTGCTAATGGTTTAAAAAACAAATCAAGAGCATTTCAAGAGAAAATTAGCCTAGCTATATGAAATCATCTCTGAGACACGGATCATCTATCAGAAAAGCTGAGTTATGGATGAACGAACAACCATTGCGGTGCCCGCCTACCCCAATTGAGTTATGGATTGGAAAACAACAACCGCCATGGATGCCTAACCAAGACGGCACAGATGACAGAACTTTATTAGTTACATGCATGACACAGGTAGGTGGGCACACTACTAGCTAGACTCCACAACTTGATCCAATGTTCCTGATGAAAAGGTGCTTCTTTAATCATTCAAGAGCAAGGCACAACAAGCCCGTCGCCTAGCTTCACGTGTATCGTTAGGCGTGCTGTTGCTGTCGCACTCCACAGCAACCACCGCACCCTCCAGATCCCATCGATACAAAACCGCCCCCAACACTCCCTGCCGCATATGCACTGCCGCACTAGCTTGGAGAACACTTGCAACCACACAATAATGGAGCGGCAAACTCGACTCGTCCTGCTCGTCTTCGCCTTCTTTGCCGCCGGGGCGCTCCTCACCAGCTCCGCCGCGGCCGCGGCCGCCGACTTGTCGGCTGGTGCTCAGGCCATGCCGTCGTCTCTGCACGCGCTGCGGCGCGTCGAGGACGACGCAAGCAGCTTCGTGGAGAGCGTGGAAGAGGCAGCGTACCCGCGGAGGAGGGCGCTCTACGGGGGCGGGTCTATCAGCTACGCGGCGCTCGCTGCGAGCAAGGCCGCCTGCTACGGCCCGTGCCCCGCTCGTGGGCAGGCCTATAGCCGCGGCTGCCAGGCCATCTACCAGTGCCGAGGTTAGAGTTAAACAGCGCTGTAGCATGCAGTTGATCCCAGCTCCCGGCCTGTGAGGAAACGCGGTCGTCGTAACATGTCTGTTTCTTTTGCTAGTTCTCGTTTTTTTTTTTTGCATGTAATTCAGCATGGAGTGGTCCATATGTTGATGTGTATAGTCTTCGCTTTGTTCCCCCCATAATAAATGTCTATTTATATAGAGAGCTCATGCCTTAATTGGTTAGCGTCTCACGTACGGAGGTTTAAATTAACATGATTCCTCACTGCAAGTTCATCCCCTATCTTAATATACAAGTCATCCACGTGATATCCCAGTAAATTATCCACGTCATCGTCCACTGATAATCATATCATCGTACCACACTAACTTTGAACCTCTTAATGCAGACAATCCACGTCATCTCCACTAAGCTAAATTACTACTTTCAATATATATGAAATACAAAAGACATTCATATATTACTGATTTGAAACATACTTGGTCCCACGAATTAAAATCACCATATAATCTTTTTTTTTTGACGGAAATGACCATGTAATCATGTGAACATTCGAGTGGTGTGCACACTTCGATGTTTTGATATTTTTCCCATATCTTTCTCCTCCAGACTTTAGTTTTAGTGGTCTTTACTTGTTCGAAAGCTTGTAAAAAATATTTACAACTTGAACCTAACATCATACAATTTTTATATACTCTAAATCTAAATTCATAAGACAAGTCCTATTTATTCTTCATTTTATCATGGCTTTAATGTTAGTGATCTAAGAAAGGTCGTGAAACACGTCTTAGCATTCATGTTAGTCCAAGTGATTAGGTTACCATTTCAGTCACCGAAACCATTAAGAATTGTGGCAAGGTCCATGTATCTATAGTGATTAACAGGGATGGTGACTTAAGGTGCCGCCCTATATATAGTAACATTTACATAGGTGGGCATTGTCGTCCGTTATGCTCTGCTTATGATGATTTTCACAAGCGGTGACTTGGTCGTTCTTCCTCTATAATTGAAATAGGGTCTATGTCGATTGATCCTTTTTACCGTAGCTTGGTATTATCTCAGATTAAATTAGTTACAATCAGAGAAGTATATGAATGTTAGGAAACAACGAGGAACATGCAATGGATAAAACAAAACAGAATTCGTTGGCCCTGACTAGCCCTTAGCCAAGAGAAAACTATAGTCAAATTTTACTAAAACAAGCATAATTCATGATTCCAAAACATGCCATCTTTATATGGAATATTCTAGGTCCTCTTTTTTGCTGGTTTGTTTTTTTATTTGGCCTGTTTAGAATCCTAGTCACTAAGAACACACCTCTTGACAATGCAACATAGTGACGGTCATATGAGAAGACCGGTTCATGAAGTTAAATTCTGTATTAATTGGTTTGTGATAATAGTTTCATGTCATGGTTTGGTCCATTTTGGCATTTAGCAATTTGTGTTGAAAAAGATCACGTGTAAATTCAACTTCCATAGCATTTCTGACATGCTACACATGGTAAACATGCTTTATTGATTCTCACATACATATATGTATTAGAACTTTAGAAAACCAAAGTAATAGCCATCTAGATGAAGGTTGACAATAATATTTTACCATACATAAACAATATTGTAAAGTGTGTACATATATAGCTCCACAGTAACACGTGGGAGAACATAGTATACTTTATTTCATGGTAGCGTACCACAAAATAACCATAGAAAATGAATTTTTGGCATGCTCGTTCTGTACCCTTGGTCTCTCTAAAATTTTTATTTTAGAGGTCAATATAATCTCCATGCAGTAGAAGAGCACATATGTGTCCATTACTTAGACTTGTTCGCCGGTCTTGTAAACTGCGCCGGCCTTAAAGTCGGCAGGGATGACATCATCGACAACACGGTAGCCACCAGCCTTCGCAGCGAAGCGGAAGGAGATAGGTCCCTTGATCGGCTCCTTGCTGTCGAGGGTAAAGGTCTTGGCTGGAGACTCCTTAAGGTCGTCCGAAAAATCCGTGGCGCCCTTCGGCTTGACTGACACCTCGGAGATGGCGACGTTGGTGATGAGGGATAGTTTGGTGGAGCTGGAGTCCTTACCGATCGTGAGGGTGAGCTCGGTGCCGCACGACCCGACGGCAAATAGTGCCACCAACGGCACCACCGCGAGCAGGAAGGAGAAGGTCGAGGAGGCCATTGGTGAGCTAGCAAGTAAGTTGGCAGAACCTTGTTTATTTCTTGATCGATGGAGAGGGATGGATGGATGTGGGATGTGTGTGGCGATCGATGTTGTAGCTGGCCGCTGCGTATTTATGGGTGTCGGAGGCAAGCAATTTAGGCATGGACGTACGGTGAGCCCCATAGATCGCTGGCTGGCTTGTTTATCGGCGGACACTTGTTCAATTGCCACAAATAGATCTGGGCTAGGCATTCCCGGTTGTCTTGCTGTCAGTCAAAAGAAGTGTAGGACATGCAGACCTCTCATAAATAAAGCATGGGCATGCAACCCTCAACGTTTTTAAAGTGCTGTTTTTAGAGTCACTATTCCCCGTGACACACTTAAACAAATTTAGTACTCCTTGTATCCCAAAATATACAACTCACACCCATTTCAAAATTCAAATCTGTTAACTTAATTTTTTGGACCAACACTACCCCAGGAAATTTCTTTCCTGACGGCCGACACCGTCAGGGAAAGTGGCTAATACCGTCAGGGAAAGTGATCCGTGACGGTAACCGTCAGGGATAAGCCGTCAGGAATAAACTGACAGGGAAAGTCCACTTTCCCTGACGGAAATCCGTCAGCGATTGATTACTGACGGTTAGAGCCGTCAGGGAAGATCTTCGGTGTCAGTTTTTCATCTGCTGTCACGGAAACTTTCCCCGTCGGTCACCTACCATCAGGCAAAATCCAAATCTTTCCTGTCGTCTCGAAACCGTCAGGGAAAATCTAAATCTTTCCCGTCGGCTACAACCCGTCAGGAGAACGTAGGATCTTCCCTGTCGGTTGCCAACCGTCAGGGCTCCATAAACCATCATTTAACCATTCAAATCAGTGATTCATAGCTCATTTAATCATGCATCCTATATGTCACACTAGGTAGTCTTGGTACATATAATCAAATACTCATAATTTAATCATGCATCCACACAAGCGGTAAATGTTACACTCAGTAGTCTTGGTACATATAACCATATCTTAACATTGTACATAGATCAGATAGTACAATGTTCAACAAATCAATCTTAAGCTACATTCTAGTTGTCTTGCAAAATAAACTCAGAAGAGCGAAGCTGCAGTGCTACATATGTAAGAAATAGAAGTCAAGTAACTATCCTAACAGGCCCTGTGATGGCAATGCAGCAGCTACTGCACATGTCCGGTCCCTCTCTACAATCAAAACAAGATATATAGAACCATTCATGAGATCATATGTCATGGATGTAGCCATGAGATTATACTCACAGCAAGTGTAAGTAGAATCTTCTAATTGCAGTTCAGATACAAATAGAGCACTAAAACACTAAAGCTTACGTGCACTTTGTGCAGTGTAGTTTGAAATGCTAAAACAGTCTTGTAGTGTTGTCTGAAACACTAGAACAGTCCTAATAAAACATGTATCTAGCACCTCGGTCCAATGCATGTAAATAACAATAGTTGCACCAGACCAAAAATAATTTTGTACCATACAGTAAGAGCCAACACAGTCAAGGATCTCACCATTGTGTTACAGAGGTAGGGGAAGACCTGGGACAGATAGAAGCAGGGAAGATGGCAAGTGAATGAAACTCACTAGCTTTGTGTATGCTTTATTATCAATTAAATTCAGGACTGCCCTTGAGTATATTATTCCACTAGTGATGCAAGGACAGAAAATCTATATGAATCATAGAACAGTCAAATCTTTTTTTTGGATAGCACTACGTACAGTCAGATCTTGTGTTTGCATAAGCGTCAGATCCTAAACAGGTCAACTAAGAGCAAAAATAATGTGAGCCGGTAATCTTACCATGTTTACTTTCTTCTTCCTTAAGCATGACAGGCAGTATCTCTATTTGTTTTTTATTGTCAGCAATGACCTGCAAAAAATTTGTATCAACATGATGGATGCTTCTTGGACGTTTATAATTGCAAACAGACTAAATCTTGGAAATCGATCATCTCAAGTAATGTCCTCTGTGAGTGAATAGATAATACTGTCAACGTTTTTGGAAATCATTCTTTTCTAAGTGGACATACTAAATCTTGGAAATTATTTGGTCAATGTTAAATGGCATGAAAGAAGATGGAAACAAATAACCCAAAAAGTGTTTCCTGCACAAATAGCTCATGATAGCAAAGTCATTTTCTACAGTAGATGAGCAGAGCTAGTTGTCTTCTAGTAGGATCAGTGCCAAGAACATTGAGTTGGAACGATCTGAGTTTCTATAACTTGCAGATACAAGCAAGAAGAGCTGGGGATGGGAGGGTATAGGGTGATGCTCACCACCCTTGCTGCAGCACACGCTATCAGTGCAGAGCCTCTACGCTGCCACACCACATCCTGAAGCTGCCATGCTGCCGTAGCACATCTAGGAGCTGCCAACCAACCTGCCCTGCTACTGCACATCCGGACCCGGCACCACTAATTGTTAGTGTTCCACATCTGCACATTTGTTTCAAACAATTCTTTTATAGACCAGTTAAACAGCTAGTAGTGATAAGTGAAAATATTCTTGAACAAAGAGTATGCGGACACGCACCCTTAGTTAGTTCACATGATTGCCGCAAATCACCACTACCTTCAAGCACTGTCAACACTGCCTGGAAATGCCAAAATTCATTGTCAGCATGCCTACTGACTAAGCACTATGGTTGCCTACTGACTGAAATGTTGTAATTTTTCAGAAAAGAATGTAACTAGGTCCGAAATACTTCCTTTTGACTATAAATTTTGCTTTTATGCACATAAGAACATTCCTTTTTCATAATAGTAGTGCATTCTTGTTCAGTAAGGACAAATAGACTGCATGTCAGTTCAGCA